AATCATATGTAGCCCACTTGGAGTGCCAGGGGCGGGACTATATAACTGCACTGCCACTGTAACCAAACATGAGCAAAGTCCGAATATTGCCTTCTTGCCAGAAGATTGAGAAGGATCAAACACAGGCAGCGCGAGCAACGTCGACGACAACGGCAAGAGATTAAATCTGCAGTGACGGCGACTGTTGTCAACGGCGTTCAATTGTTTCTCAATACAATTCATGTCTCGCATTCCTGTCCCGTCATCTCACTCACCGTCCGCTAACAGAGCTCCCCGTCACGATTCTCCTTCCCCAGTCCCACCGGGACCCAAATACCCTTCATCAGCATCAATGTCCAATTTATCTGGTGTCTCACCGTCTGTCGCTGACACGCGAAGAAAGCAGTCCAAACGCGACGAGGTGAGCATTCTTTCCGCTTTTCGGCTTCCGGACTCGTGGTTTTGTTTACGGTACCTGTCGGTACACTTCTTCGTACACGTGTACACACTCCTTCGATGAGCTCCTTATCACCTCTTTACCAAGGGCGCGCCCACTCTGTTTCAAACACTATATCCCACCGTCGCACGCCCGTCCGTGCTGTTTCAGTCGCTAACCCTCCTTCACAGGCCATCCGGAAGAAAATAGAATCAGAGCTTGCCCGAAAACGTACTATCTCTACAACGCATCATGCAGGTGGCCGCGGAAAACGTGCTGCAAAACCTGCTATTGCGAAAGGCACGGTCGCTGCACTGAAGCCCAGCCCTGCACTCACCGTTCCCGATAATATTACTGTTGCAGAGGCCAGTCAGCTATGCGCAGCGAAACGGACAGATTGTGTCCTTGTTGTAGACGATGAAGAGGGACTGAGCGGTATTTTTACCGCTAAGGATCTGGCATACAGAGCATGTCGTTCCCCGTCCTCCACTTGACAGTCAACCCTGACAGTTTACAGGTTACTGCTGATGGTCTCGACCCTCATACCACACCGGTCAGTCAGATCATGACCCGGAACCCAATGGTCACCCGGGATACCACCAGCGCGACCGAGGCTCTCCAGCTTATGGTTCAACGTCATTTCCGTCACCTGGTATGATTTTACCTGATTCTCTGAACATGAGTGGTATTAATGCAAATACTAGCCTGTTTGCAATGAAGAAGGCAATGTCGTTGGATTGCTTGATATTACTAAGGTCTTCCATGAAGCACTGAACAAGGTCGAGCGTTCCTCCTCTGCATCCGAGAAACTCTACACTGCTCTTGCGGGCGTGCAATCCGAACTTGGCCCAGGAATGTCTTCAAACCCGCAGGCTGCTGCCATGCTTGCTTATGTCGACGCCCTCCGCGAGAAAACCGCATTGCCAGATCTCACGACTGTCATGGACTCGCGGACGCAACCTGCAACTGTCACCCCAAAAACGACTGTCCGTGAGGTGGCCAAGCTGATGAAGGAGCGTCGTGTCACTGCTGTTTGTGTCATGGAAAATACGCCAGGTGTCGGTGATTCCTATACCAAGATCGCCGGTATCTTCACAAGCAAGGACATTGTCCTGCGCGTCATCGCTGCGGGTCTGGATGCGGGCATATGTAGTGTTATCCGTGTAATGACCCCTCATCCTGACACGGCTCCTCCTACCATGAGCGTACACGACGCGCTCAAGAAGATGCATAGTAAGTGCTCTGGTGTTTGGTGTTGCCTGTGCTGAACGTGCTGCCAGACGGTCACTATTTGAACTTGCCTGTTGTCGAGAGCGACGGACGGTTAGTCGCCATTGTTGATGTTCTGAAGCTCACATACGCCACCCTGGAGCAGGTAGGTAAAGTCTATTCGTAGGTTTATCTGTGCTAATTCAATCTCAGATGAATGCCATGAGCACGGAAAATTCTGGTGAATCTGTGGAAGCCGAAGGCGGACCAATGTGGGGCCGTTTCTTCGACTCTATTGGTGGCCACGATGACACTGAGTCCGTCATCTCTGGTTCGCATGTCCCCACCGACGGCCCTTCTCTCTCTACGCATAACATCGCTCGCCTTCAGCAGTCCCCACACTCCGAAGTGCACCCGAATGACTCTGCCTCCGTGGTCGACGAGGAGCACGAATCTGTACTGGAGGGCTATTCGCGAAAGCGCAAGGGTGCGATTCCAGCCATCACGGGCGCGACTTCCAGCGTGCCAATAGACGATGGAACGTACGTCTTCAAATTCCGCACGCCAAGTGGGCGCACCCACCGGTTCCAGGCGCGACACGACAGTGTCGAGATGCTGCGCGAGATCGTGCAAGGCAAGCTTGCGACGGACCCGTTCTTCACCGAATTTGCAGGCTCACCCACTGAGCGGCCCGACCCTGAAGATTTCACATTATCGTACACGGATGCTGACGATGACACAGTGCTCATCACGAGCGACACGGATATCGCGGATGCAGTGAAGATTGCGCGGTCGGCGGGCTCGGATCGGGTTGTGCTATTCATTCAGGGCGGGAAGCACTGGATCGGAGCTGGCGCAGAGAAGAGCGAGGCAAAGGCCGCGGAGGTGAATGCAGCTGCGAAGGAGGAAGAGAGGGAAGTCGAGAAGGCAGAGGCTGTGACAATCCCCGAACCTGTTGTAACTCCCCCTGCAAAGGCATACACACCACCGCAGGAGGAGCTGGTGATGGGCATCCCGAAGGATTTGTTACTCCCTGCCAGTATTGGTGCACTTGCTGTCGTCATCATTGCGGTGTTCACCATCTCAAGATTGGCACATGATTGAAGAATTAAGTACAGAGAAGGTCTGCCGTGTTCACCGAAGCCTTTTTTACCCTAAGGAACTCATTAGACTGTTCGTGAATTATGTATACAGGGACAGAACTTGTTGTTAAACCTGTCATTCACTCTTTTGCGTATACGACTTGTTTATGAACTTATCACGAATTTTGCAAATGAAGTCACAGCTCAGCATGCCTACTTGTCAATCTGTTTGCTGAAATAACTCATTTCACCTCGCTACAGACTATATACATGGTCATACAACGAGTTGAAAGTACAGTTAGTTGTTCAAATATCTCACAATGGACTAGGATATGAACGTGAGCTATCTAACTGGTCTCAATTTTATTTTTAGATCGTGCTGGGTCGGTTGCTTACGCACTCACCCATAATTTCTCTCTCCTTCCTAGGGTTCACGCTCTAGCAAAACGCCTGCAAGCTGGTTTAGAAGAGCTTCAGGTCGGCATATTGAGTCCCGCAGAGACTTGCATGGTAAGTCCTATAGGCTGTTTCTCGATCTCAAAATTGCCAACGAACTTACGACGTTTTTTATGATCCCTGCACAATCGGTATCGAGTACTGGGAAATCATAGATCGTGCGGCTGCATTGCCGAACCCCATTGGTCTTACGGACTCTTACCGGCTCTCGTCTCGTATAGTACATATCCAAACATTGCCCGAGGCAGTGGAAGACTTCTTGTCATTGATCAAAACCTGAAGGAGAAGGTCTAGGTGGGTATTGTTCCTTCAGCAGTGGACTCAAACGGGATGAGGAACGTGTACATCAGGGCCACGAGCCTCCACACCACTAGATGATTCAATGCATTTATTGTGATACCTACTGTCCTCAACAATCACCAGCATACTAGCAATTTAAATGCCTAGGTGCAATTGCAATATATGTGATGTAATTTACAGGTTGAGGTCGGAGCGATAGATTCTGGGGAGGATGAAGTGTAGATCCCCGACTCCCATGGTTAGTGGGAGAATGGTTTTGTCAGACGCAAACGTGCCACTGCGGCCGGCTTTGGAAAATTAGGAGCAAGCTTTGTCATCGGATTCGGATGACGTCACACGGACGATGTTTTAACTCCAACTTATATTTATCTACAATCATATGTTCGTAAGTTAGATTATTTGACGAAATTTACGCTTGGCAGGTAAAAACCGTAAATGGGAATCTGCCGCGCCCGCTGCTGCTGACTAAGCGCGCCCATCCCGCTGGTTTTCTGCCTCTTTGTCGTCCCTTTCGTCCTTCAACATCGAAAGACACCGATCGTCGAACAGGTGCGACGGTACCACGCAGTGGATAATATTAGTAGTCTGTTTGAATATAATAGTGAGTATGTTTTCACCGAAGTACTTGGGAGCTTAGCACCAGTGATGTGAAAGGTCTGCTGTACCAGTGGGTCCTTAGATTTACTGATTTACAAGTTTATGACAGATTTACCAGATTTACGACCAACTTTGGGTGGTCCTGCACTTAACTCCTGCTTAACTCGCCTTAACCACCCAAAGCTCAACTTAGTTTGTCCATTCGGCCAACCATGGTGAGGACCAAGCCGAAATCATGCAAAGGGCCTCCTTCCCCTCATGCTGCAGAGGCCAGCCCAAGGAAGCGACGGAAGGGGGCAGTGCCCACAGGAAATACCACCCTGCTGGCCATCAACAAAGTCAAGGAAAGGGCCAAGCAACAGCACAAGCATGCAAAGAAGACGCGCGAGAACTACAATGGGTATGTGGAACGAGGACAGACATGGCTGAAGGCACATTTTGCTACTAGCAGGGGGGCCGTGGCAAGCATGGATTCAGAGACCATGTCTATCAGTACTGATGCCTACGAGGATCCCACATTCAGAGATGCACTCGAGAGGATGCCCAACCAACATTCTGACAAGGCCCTCGCACTCCTCATCTCCTTCAAGTGTTTCCATGAGAACTGTGGCCAGAGCATGTGCGACGGGACCTACTCAGCCTTCAAAAAATTCTGGGAGGAAGCGTGAGTGCCATATTTGTGTCAGTGAGTCTCATACTTATGATTTTCGACGGAATGTGCCACTGTCCAGGGATGGAGATACCTACTGTGGGAGGTGGCATTTCAACGAGGCATGCCTGTGCTGGGAAGGAAACCCCACATCATCAGCTGAGGTTCAAGACATCATCAAGTCTGTCAAGCACAAGACCAGCAGCGAGGGTGGGGACAGAACTCACTCCATTGCAATGTCGAAAGGATTCATGGATCGAATCCTGGCCTGGACCCACAAACTCTGCCCGCCGGAGACATTCCTTGGGCTTATGAGGTCAGTTCTGGCAGCAGATACGATGAGCACAGAACCCCTCACACTGGAATCGCGTGAATTGCTCACAAAGATGACGATGTACCAAGCATTTAGCACAACGGCCTGGAACCTGTGGACGAGGTCAGCTCACTCGATACAGACTGCTTGCTAAATTTTGAAGCAACCCATGGCAGGTGCTTCGAGCTCATCAAACTCAAACGGAAAGACTTGACCATCGATTTTTTCCAAGTCGGCACAACATTCACAAGATATCTCAATGGCGAGAAACTGTGCTTGAAGGACCTCCACACATATTTCGAGGTGTTTTTGTCCAACCGAAAAGGCTGGCAGCGGAGAGTAGACAAGGGCACGAAGGAATCAGACCTACGAAGTGAGTGCCTAGTTACACTAGTCGTTTGTCATACTAATTCGAACATTAACCTCCTGCTACCCTCATCATCAGGCAATCAGTACAAGCTCTACCCACAGCCAGACCTACCAGGCTGCAACTGCTTCTTCTGGCTCTTACTCTGGCTTACCTTTCTTGAAGTTGCCCACTATGGTCGAAAACTCGAGCCTGAAGACTATATCTTTCCTGCCATAGGTGCAAATGGCATTGTCCACTGTGGTGAACCTATCTCGCACGACACTGTTCAAGCATGGATCGACGAAGCGACCACAGAAGCAGGAATCCCATGAGGTGCAGGTGACAACTTCATGACCCACACCTATCGACGTGGTGGTGCACAGTGGCATTGGATGTTTGCACCTATCGGTCAGCACTGGACTCTCGCGAGGGTCAGGTGGTGGGGTTCATGGGCAGAGAATGAGAATGTGAGTCTCAGACTGACTCGAGCTTTTCTGTTTCTGACAATGAATTACTTTTAGCGTGACACACTGATCCGGTATCTCCTCAACGAACTCTCCACCTATGAAAACGACCATAGTGATGCCCTCTGTCCAACACAGTGTGAAGCTGATGCATCTCTGCTTGGAGAGCACTTGCTTGTCAAGCCCGTTTGCATCCAGGACCTGCAGTCGATGCATGAATGCATCTCAGCTGATGTTGCAGGTTTGCAGAGTGACCTACGCACCCTCGCAGCCACGCTCTACAATGGGCAGCTGACTAACCTGCCCAACTCACCCAGCAGCACAGGCATGTGCAATGCTCCGCACTCGTCAACTCTGCTGTCCAACCCAGGCAACCCCTGCGTTGTTCATCACTCATCCCAGCCACCCAGCTCTGAGTCTCAGCCACGCTGCCCTGCTATTCTCTCCTCCACTCTCCCACAGCCCTCTGCACTCACTCAAATCACAGACAGCGGCATCGTTCAAGTTGGTTCCCACTCGCTAGTACCACCTGAGAAGGGACTTGTCATCCCTGATGTCCCAACACGACACCCTGATGGGACCCACACCCCCAGAGCTGCCTCTTGGAGACAGATTGTGAAGCACTGGACGGATGGTGACCCTAAGCACAGATTGCTACTTCCACTTCGAGATTGGCCACCTGAGTGGATCCGCGGGAAGAACAAGAAGTTTTTTGCAATGAAGTACCACCAGCGCTCGGTGATCGCACTGGAGTTTCTTGACCGGTGAGTTGATTTCACAATTTTCGGGCACATGAACTGCTCTCATCCCCACCCATCATCATTCCATGCACACACACTAGGTTCAATGGACACGAGCCTGTGTTCCTCGCTGCATATCCAGAGGCCACTGTGGGCCACACAGCTTTGCTTTGGGCAATCAACCGCGCGAAGAAGGAGTGCGGGGATATCATCCCTCGAAAGTAGTGAGTGATACTTCCCACGCACGCTGCCAGTGACCTGCGCTGATGATTTTTAGACTCTTCTTTTTCTTTTTTCTCGGCACCAACACTTCGAAGTCCCTCCCTTTTTGTTGCCCAGCATGCCATTGGAGTCCCTCATTAATTCAGGCCAAGTCTCGTAGGTCCCATCCAATTCTAACCATCTCAATGAGCTTGTTGCACTACTACACTACCTACTAGTACTGTTCCATACTGTACATCCTTGACACACGTCCCTAGCCCTAATGCTCAAGCCTTTCATTGATTCCCAGACTTGCCTCCCACCAGCACGTCCATCCGTTTCTCCCCATCATCCGGCCTCGTTCCCTCGTTCCCTCGCGACTTTGTCCTCTCGCTGTGCATGTGCAGCACCCCAACCACGGCGGGAAGGTGGGGTCACGTGACGTACACTACCGTATATGGCGAGCCAAGAGGTAAAATTTTCGACCTAAGTGTCTGTAACGTGCGTAAGTGCATCCGAAGTTGAAGTGGAGGTGGGCAATGCCCGCGAACACTGTGTGACACTTATATAATCGAAAAACCCCTGATTAGCTCAAATCCATGATACACTGCCAGCAAAACAACAAAATAGTATGTATTGTGATTTTAATATATACTAGTCCACACCTGTTCTGCCTTTGGCACAGGAAGCAAAAAAGAGCGCTTTGCGCTCTTTTTTTAGCTTCCTGGCCTCAGCTTCATCCAAATAATTCTGAAAGCTCCTGATGGGCATTGTTCCTTCATCACAGGAAGCCAAGGAGGGCTGTGCCCTCCTTTGGCTTTCTGGCCTCAGGCTGCATCCTAATAGATTGTGCATTTTGAATAAGAAGTACATTTATAAATTATGAGCAGCAGTTTCAAAAAAACTAAAAGTACAATCTAGTACCACCACATAAAGTACATAGTACATAAGATCGGTCAGTTCTACATTCTTTGAGCAGGATTCTGACAAAAGTAAAAAATACAATTTACTACACAACATAAAATTACAAAATATGTAACAGTAACAGTATCATTGAATGTATTATTTTCCCATTTTCCCCTGCCCCCTATCTCCCATTGTGTCCCATATACTCCCGTCTCCCGTCTCCCGTCTCCCGTCTCCCGTCTCCCGTCTCCCGTCTCCCGTCTCCCGTCTCCCGTCTCCCGTCTCCCGTCTCCCGTCTCCCGTCTCCCGTCTCCCGTCTCCCGTCTCCCGTCTCCCGTCTCCCGTCTCCCGTCTCCCGTCTCCCGTCTCCCGTCTCCCGTCCTCCCATTCTCCCAGTTTCCCAGTTTCCCAGTTTCCCAGTTTCCTAATTTCTTGTCCTCTCATTCTCCAATTTTTGAGTCTACATTGTCTTTTGCTCCCTTTTTTGATTTTTCACAGCTATTTTCTCCTGATCTCTTTGATCTCCTTCACCCCATATATATGTTGTTCCATTTTAGTTTTATTATTTACTGTATGTATGTACCATACACAATTACAATAGGGAAAATACTTGTGTTGCATAGTGTGGTGCTCTAATGGGCAAAGGAGATTGAGTCGGCGCTCGAAGGCCACACGAGAAAACCACGCAAGATTTCCAAAAAGAGGTTAAGTGAGCTAAGCGTGCATAAGCGAAAGCCACATGAGTGCCCATGCGTTTCCGAAAACCATCGTACTTTACTTCTTAGATAAGCATGGAGCATTTGATCCCGCAGAGCCAATTCGCGTCTACCCCACATGCGCGCTCCAGCTGAGCACCACTCGCTTTCCAATTGCTGCCCAATTTGTGTCTACTCCATGTGCGCGCTCCAGCAGCTTGATGCCCTGCCTGGAGATTTCGGTGAGCATGAGTCAGAATCCATGACGTGAGAGACTGATGACTGAACGATACAGAATCATACTTCAGCTCTGACTATCTCAAAGAGGCAGACCAAGCGCCTCCAGATGCACCAGAACAGACTCCCAAGTGCCTTGCAATGTTGACTCATACAAACATGCCTCAATCTCCCTGCTTGATCCCGCGCCTTACACTTTGGACACGAGAAAACAGTTTTGGAAGATGGATGGCTTTGTCCCTCTCTCTCTTGATGGGCTGACGATCATGTCGCAGATCTCACTGTCTCTGTGTTCGTCTTCGGCGGGAAGGTCCCTCAGACAGGAGAGATCCATTGCCTGCCTCGCATCACCTTCTCTTTCAGATTGGCACGATGCAGCTGGACCATCAATCGCATGGACCATCGTCGTGTATGCAGGTATTATATCAACTAACCAGTAAGTGGATTACTACGTCAGAAATACATAAATCTAATGTATATCATGTATGTGCGCTGAAACAAATGACCAATACTCCGTACATTAGCAAACTACTGGGTGCCTGTACAGGATTGTACAATCTTGTACAATCTTGTACAGACTCACAGAACCCACAGCTAAGTCCCCCCTTTGCAGGTGTGTACAATAGGCCTACAATCTGTACACTTGTTCACAATATAGACAGACAACCAAGGCTGTGAAGTTCAGACATGTTGCACACATTGTGCAAAAGCACATTGTGTATCAATAATAGTAACTGCACATGGGGAACATGCTATGCAAGCATACAAAAATCGTGCAAACTGTCATCATGATTATCAATTAAACAAAAACATCGAGCATTGAACAGCGCATTAAAGTATGATATTGATGTCCCCTGCGTCACTGCCTGCATCACTCCCATCTACATGCCAATCAAACTCACCCATACCAATCTTAGCCCATTGCTCCAACATTTTTTCAAGCTCTTCACAATGTTCCAAAATGTCGAGCAACTTGTCGACGGATTTGTGCAACTTGTCGAAGTCGGTCCTGCATCTATCAGCGGAGAGTTCAGGCACTTTGTCGGTGCCAGTTTTGCTGAACCCAGAAATAACACCCTTCATCTATTAAATCATCAGTGACAAAAAATAAAATAAACTGCGTAGCGTATGACTGCTGCCACGAGAATGAGGCCATTGACAGGGATTGTGTTGTGGAAGTCATCTGTGTTCTTCAGTGCTTTCTTGCTGTTGCTGTAGAAAAACTCGAGACAAACATCCTTGAGAGCCTGCAATACAACATGGCATCGCCAGCTTATCCCATGTCGGTGCGACTATATCATGTGCCCCCCCATACTTCGTAACAAATTCGAAAAAAATGTAAAACATAGACTCAAGGTCATCACACGTGTAGTGTTCGATTTGCTGCAGCTGAGTAGCATCAGCAGTCTTTTTAACGGTCTCGGCATTCCTCGACATCTTCTTAAGGACACGCATGGAGGTATATGGGATAGTCCCCTAGAAAAAAAATAAGATCAAAAGCAAGAATGGTAAACTGGACATTCAATCTTACAGTACCAAATGAAATCGTAGACGTCTTGCCTTCCTCTATAAATCCGGCATGATCGAAATTGATGAAGTAGCTGTTACCCTCATAAATGATGAAGTTGTTCGGGCTGAGGTCCCCATGTAGAATTCCACATTCGACCATGAGTCTATGAGCTAATGATACAACATTAAACTTGAATTTGACGCATCAAATTGAACTGAACTCACCAACAACAAAGTCACGAAAAGCACAGATCAACTCCTTCCTAGAGCTGAAGTGTGATAGCGGTTCTCCACAAGGAGTCATGACAAGCCATCGGTGAAATCGATTACAGAACCTGTGGTCATCCTTATCATCCAGGTCGAACTGCTGATAGCGATCACAAATCTGCGCTGTACAGTCAGGCTCCCCGTCATACATGACATCCCAATCATCTACAAGTTGGATGACATTAGGGATGCCATGGACTCGCTTGAGAATGGCCACCTCGTGATATCTCTTTGCCTCAGGCACCCAACAGTCCTTCATCACATAATCCTTCCCGTCGGTAGGATCTCTGACATGGTAACAAACTGTTTCGTGACAGAAGAAACCCTGACTCTTCCACAAAACATCCATTATCGAGTAAGTTTTACCGTTATTGTTGACTACCCATCCTTTCGCCCCCACAGCCAGAGAGAGGTGAGTACCCTGGCAATCAGCAATGCACATATGGATGGTGGGGTCAAGGCCAAAGTACTGCGGATCTGCTAACACGGTTGTGGCTATTGCCTCGGTGACACAGATTGGAAATTTGTGGATGGGGGTCGGAAGGGATATGATGAGGCCCAAGCGGTCAAAATAATGGGCACGAAGGTCATCTGCACAAATAGAGTAGGCAAGAACGAAGTGACGCCAGGGTTGTTCCCGCATAATGAGGTACACTTTGGTAGCAGATCCCCAATACACTGCTAAATCATGTGTTATAGCAAAATTGCTGGAGGTGTGTTCCACGAAGCTCAAAACATCAGCCCATGTTTTGTCCTGAAGTTTGTTCTTGTAATAGAACAGGGCTACATCGGGCTTCTGCGTGTTATATGGGTCTGGTATGGGTGAGTTCGCAAACTCTGCAGACCAGTACCGCTCAATGGGAGAAATATCAAAGGGAAGTTTCAGCGGGTATCCACTTCGATTGCGCAGGGCCCACTGAATGGCATGGAATAAGTACTGTAAGTCCCTCTCAGTTGAATACTTGTTTCATTTCCTCTTCGATCCTGTCTTTACACTGCCATTGAATTCATTGTCACTCCCATAGCGGTCGGTTCCTTGGGAGAAGATTGTCGAACCATGAAAATCCAAGGCCTCGAGTTCTGCACTCGAGGACTCAGTGGCGTCTGTGTCGGAATCCCTCATCTTGCTCTTTTTCCTGTGATTAAAATTCCACTTTTTTTGTATGTATACTGGTGAGCTGTCCTTCTTGTGGTATTTGATCTTTTCGATGTGGTGTAGTTGAAAGGAGGATATGGGGATGAGCGCGTGGAAGATAGAATTGGTAAATTTCATCTTACTAAGGCCAGACTCATCAATGACATGGCCATCGAGCTCTGATCTCAGAAGATTCTTCACAGTATTAACTGTGCGTCCGCCTAGAGGTGGGAAGCCCGCAGAGCTAAGTGATGCCCCACAAAGGTAAAGGTCGAATGATGTGGCACCAGGAAGTTCGAGTGACAAGGTCGTCATTGGTGGTTTACCAGGTGAGTCTGAACTGGACAACGTGCTGTGAAACGGTGTCTGGTAGAAGGTGTGCCAGTATGATGTGTCTCAGTACTCAATACTAGTAGTGTTTGTGCAGTCTGCACAAGAGTGTATAGGCACTCACAGGGTGGTGTCGGGCTTGTCGGGACTCCATCCTCATCCAATTTCACTCGATGATCCAATTTCACCAATTGCAAAATTTGCCATGTAGAATACATAAAATCTGAAGTAAATGTATCTATCCTTGCGAGAGGGCGGCATATGTCTGTTTGTCAAAGTACCTGTTTAAGAAAAAAGATGAATGATAATGAGCAGAATTTGCCTTTGTCAACCAGTGCGTCTTCTGCGTGACCTAGTTGGGGAATGATATGAATAAATGCACGAAGTTGGCTAAGGGGAACTATGTCACCCACTGGCGCGCTGTTGGCATGTTTAGCATGTTTCAATACATGCATCTCAGTGACCGGATCAACCGCACCCATTTTGAAACTACACAAATAGCACAAATATTGATCTTGCCATGTGATTTGTGAACCTCGCCGAGGAACTGGGTGCATTATGAGCTGCAATTCGCAGACATGGTGCCCTTCAAACAGGGGGAAAGACATCAACGATAAGCAAGATTAGTATCAACATAAACAAGCTCACCCATCAACCCCGACTTAGGCCAATCATAGGCTCGATCAACATTGATGAGGACAGCATCCCATTGGCCTTTTGGCCACCTGCTGGTAGGAGATGGAGGGGAGGCATGCACAGTCTGTGCAGGTAAGACAACACTGGCATCGTAGAAAGAAACTTGTTGCAAACAAATGGTATGCCATATCTGGATATGTTCAAAAGGAAGAACTGAGGGATGGTTGATTTGCGGTCTCCTTGGAACCCCCAACCCATGGCCTGCTTCTCTGTTCCTTGCATCACGTTGCAAGAAGTTGGAAAGAGCCTGGCATCAATCTGGTATGTTGAAGTCATCGGCAACCTCATTGATTTTCAACCCAGTGCGAGTAGGGTCAAAATTAAGATGAATAGCGGTGGAGGCAGCAACAAATGTCCGAGGAGGGTGAAAAATATTATCGCATCTCACACCAACCAATTGCCTTGCTTTGCTAAAGTAGTTGGTGGTGATGCATGTTTGGTTCAGCTCTTCTAAGAGTGCAGTTCGCGGGTCCGTCAGTTCATCACAATCTCCATTGTCTTCCTCGTCTTCCTCGTCCTCAAGGAATTCTTCTGACTTAGAATCAGCGCAAGTACTCTTCAGTGTTGTAGCAATCACGAAACGTCACAGCTTCTCCTGGCGATCTAAATGATGACAGATCTGAGGATCATAGTTGTTGTTATTGGTGTGCCGCGCAGGGTCCTTAATCTCAGATATATGGGCATGCTCAGTGGTGTCTGCAGACCACTGAATAAGGGTGCCAACTTTGCATGAGCTGGCAGTGATGCTCTGCATGAGTTCAAGCTTCTGTTAAGAACGTGCTCAAGGGTCGGATCTGAAGGGCTTGGCTTCAGCTTGTGCGCTGCATCCCTTACCCGAGTACGTGCCCCTAACTTCCGAGGGCTGTTGGACAATGTCTGAAGGTTGTTGGACGAGTCCGGAGTCCGATGTCCGATGTGCGGGAATTCCGGCGGATGTTCGGGAACGAGGGATAAGACTAATCTGGACAATGTCCGAACTAGAAAGGAAACAGTGGAGGACTACCAGAGGTAGAGGCGGAGGTGAGAAGTCTATAGGAGTTGATCCTAAGACTAGCGGAGGATGACGAGAGGAGAAACTCAAGTCGGACAGAGGAGGGAATGAGCAGAGTCTAAGATAATATTCGAACTGAGGAAGTACAAAGATTCTACAGGGTTTATATACTACTGAGGACTTAACAGAGAATCAGTCAGCGCAGTCCAAAGCTATGCGAGGCTGTGGACGGAGTGTATAGAAAAGTCAAACACTAGTCTATTGGAAAATAGTAAATGAAGACAGAAATGAGAACATAGAAAAATAAAGGCAGAAATGAAACAAGGTATGGAAAATGAGTATAGTCTAACTGGAGAAGGAACGTACAAACAGATAAGGCACAGAAGATAGATGCGGGTCGGATCCAGACGCTAGATAGAAGTCGACCGGATCCGGAAATCCGGAAATGATGTGTGTGATAGGTCCGGGTCCGGAACGCGGGATATGACAGCTTCGGTATGAACCAGTTGTTGATAGGCTTCTTCGTCCCCATCCAAGCCTTTAGGGAGATGATAATGTCTTTGTTTTTGTGAAAGATCAAAAGTGATCTGTCAATATGCGCCAGTAAATTTTCATCAGGCGAAGGAGACTGCACCATGTACCGGACATCCATAAGAGCACGGATCACAATCACAAATTGACGAGGAGCTGCACCAGCAATCAGGCCGACAATGTAACACTGGAGATCTTGGTGTGCTCTACCCGTTGTAAAGAGTTGATTCTATGTGGGCGCTACAAAAGTATTACCTTAAGACTCAGAGTGCGAGTGAGATGTTCATCCCAAAGAGACTGCCTATAGAAATGCTCCTTGATATAAAGCAAGGGATATCTTGTTAAGATCGAAGGCGAGAGAAGGAAAAGCTACCAAGAGTGCACTCAGTGTTCCGAGGATGTGTCCGAAGTACCGAAGTACTCATCTGAAGTGGTCCGAAGGTGGTCCAACGTCTAGAAACGAAGGTCCGAGGTTGCGCGAAGCGTCCGAAGAGCTTCCGATGAACAGCGAGCGTTCCGAGAGAAGTACGGCAGGTGTATTGAAGTATAAGACTCACGAAGTATGACTGGGCAAAGTCTATCGGGAAGAACTTAGAGACAGCGAGTAGCGAAATGGCAGCAGTCAGGCCAAACAATCGTTCCGAATGAACAAAGATTGATTGCGAAGTATGACTATCCGAAAGTGACTCTACTAACTGTGACTTGTAGCAGGGAAAGTGAAGTGAAGTCCAAGTAGCTAGCAAGGCAGATTATATCCTACAGCATGAAAGTCCGGGAACTGTGTAGGCAAAACTAGTAGTGAGATAAGACATCCAAAATGTAATAAGACTCGAGGCGAGCCACTACAGAGATATGCATGTAATAAGGCGCAGGGCGTGTAGTTATACATATAATCGACGGGCCGACAACATATGTGCCCCTAGACATAATCAATAACAGATAACCAAGTGAAAAACGCACCAGCGAAGTCAAACGGACACGGACGGAACATGGTACGGAGGATCGGAACTGTATACAGGCCTCGGGAATGGACGGACGACCTTCGGATGACTCGGACAAGTGCGTGGAACTCTCGAAAGATAAATGGAGTGTTGAGGAACATGTGTATGGGATACCTATGGATTTGGCAGGATATGAGCCCAACGCCAATCCGAGTGCTACACCGTGACTTGCTTCAATTTTGAAAACCCACCAGAAAAGTGGCGATAACCTGTAGTAGGCTGCAATATTGAAATGCAAAAATCTAATTCCTGTGCTCCAAGAACTGTAAGGCACCATTGGAGGTCATGATCATAAAACTCCTTGTGCCAGTGATGCAAAGGTTCAGGTGTCAAAAAGACTGAAGGATCAGCAAGCGGCCAGTCTGCCCAGAAAGGAGAATGGACACTGTTTAGTTGGTATTGCTCGCATGCCTGGAAGTAAGCTTCAAGGTCATTAGGGTCAACCGTTATGCTATTGAGCTGTTCCAAGGTGATGGAGCGCGTGCGCTCGGGATGACAAAAAGCATCCCCGAACTCCAGATATGATGCCAAGGTAAACGGCGAAGTTTTCCTGTGCATGCATGCAAGCATACATGCCTCCGGGGTATCAACAATATATGCTGCAAGAGGCATAAAATAGTGGCGCACATTGCCTACTGGGTCGGACATCATGATTCTGATTTCAGCAGCTTTCATTAGGGGCTTCAAAACTATGGAAAGACATTCGTGCATGAGGCGATCTTCTAGCATGCCCCGCATCCGTGGATTTGAATGCAAATACTGCAGGATAGGGAGGAGGGCTGTAAGAAGAAAGCTCTGGATGAGAGCTTGGTGCGAGTGTTCATGTGAATGTTAGCAAGGCCTAAAAGGAGTGGATGAGCGACCCTGGCACCAGTCATATTGGTGATATTCGTTTTGTCCGAAGAAAGTACAGTGCCTAGGACTGTCGCACCTCTTGGAAGCTGGTCCTGCAGTCCTTATAATGAGATGAAATGAATATTTAGACACAAGCTGTACATACCTGGATCTCCCAAGCAGAGTCGCCTGTCAACCACTCTGAGTATACATGAAGAAGCCACGCTGATGTCATATAAACATGGTGAGGGACAAAATCGAGCTGGTCATGGAAAAGGGGGTTACTGAAGAGACTCTCCAAACATTCCACCAGGTCCCTCCAAAATAGTCGGATAGGCCCTTTTGTGCGATTGAGTGAAGGGATGGTTTGGCACTTCCAGCTTGGTCCTTTTGGCAGCATTTCAGCATGGCTTCGTAATTCTTTAGCATTGCGGAATGACAATTTCAACCGATGGATCTTCAAATAATGTCAGCAAGCGCCAGCACTTGTGAAAAGGACACGCACCATAGGGAGTTCCAGAAACTGGTTAATCGCTGCCATACTGAGGGGAGAACGCAGGAGAAAATTGGCGACCTTCCACTCTTCCTTTGATGCAAAAGGGTAGAAGAGGTTTTCCTTCCTGCATTCTGCATACTCATCAGTGTCAAACAGATCCAGAAAGGTCACACCATCCTGAGCATAACAAGTCCCTGCGCCCTCATACACCTCCACCTGTGATAACGATTCTCCCTCGTCCTCGAAATGGGCACCATCAAAGTCAACATCCATCATGCTATCCTCAGCATTGAATTGTGGGATGTCCACTTCTGATGTTGATTGAAGAGATTGCTGCAGTGGAATCAACTTGACAAAACACAAGATATCGACCATATCACGAGTGGAACTATGGCACAATGTTCGAGGCTGGCTGAGGTGTCGAGTGACACTGGATTCCTTAGTGAATAACTTTCCGCACTGTGGACAAGCTGACATATTACAGATCATCACAGCTCGATTCAAATAAGTCTCACACTACACTGCGCTTGCTCTGACACTTTGTACTAAATATTGTCCATATTGCTGCTACAGTGCTCTTGATGCAAAACTCCAACGTTAACTCTGTGGCCCTTCCGTACCGTCACTGGGCCTCTCGCAATTCTGGAAGTTCTTCTCGAGGTTCCTCTTGCAATTCTGGAGTTTCTTCTCAAAGTTCCTCTCACAATTCTGATATTTCTCTTCATCTTCCATCCTCTCGTCGTCATCCTGAACACTCTCCATATCCTCGGTCCAGACAGAGTCTACAACGTCCATCTTCTCTGCCATGATCGCAGCTGATCAAGGAGGAAGACAGCTTCTCCATATTGATGCACCTTGTGAGTTGTTATCAGCCAATTTCAATGCTTCATGACTCTTATATGCTTTCGATACTGGCAGGAATGAGACTCCACATCACTCAAAGAGGAAGATGATCACTCTGACCTCGCACTCAAAGCAGCTAAAGCCAAACGTAAAGTTTGCCAGGCTCAAAAGCACCTGGCGGATTGTATTTTGGAACACCATGAGATACTCACACATCTCTGCCACCGTCGTGCAGAGGCTGCAAATACTCATTTATTATCAGCTGACCTGAATGTCGGGCGCTTGCATCTTGAGCGTAGAAAAGACGGTATCGCAACATTTATTCGAACATAATTGACAGTAAGTGCCCAGTTTGTGATGTTCCTGTACCACACTGATGGCACTGCTAATTAATTCACAGCTTAATGATATTGTAAATACTTGTGGTTCTTTTTCTTCTTTGCGCGTAAATAGCTTCAATAAAAGACCACATTTGTATTTTCCTACACAAGGCTTATCGTTTGTACAGTTTGTATGTCTGTGCTACTGTGTGCTTGTCAAGCATGTCAAGTTTGATCCCAATTATTGGCTATTTGCTTGTGTGTCTGTGATGTGTGTATGGCCTTGTGTGTCCTTGTGCCGATTTGTCAATGATGTGGGAACTGTCACGAAATTGGTAGTTTGCTGATGTATATTAGGCTGACTCTTTGTGGCCTGTGGCTGTAGTAGCGATGGTTAGAAAATCTATGTCATCTACAATGTCACCTCGAGTGCGACCTTCACATTGCTGAATGAGAAACGATAACGCTGCGCTGCTTCTTCGACTTAAAGTGAGAAATCTTACGGAATTTTATCTCGTCTTTGAGGCGCCTGTGGAGTTCAAGCTGATCTTTCAGTGCAGGATCTAGCAAAGAATTGAGGGCAGCTTGATCCATGATGAGCTGAATGTTAGAGAAGTAATCTGCTTTTTCAGCTTTCTTGTGAGTAGAACCGAGGATGTTAGAAATGGGAACACTGTCGCTGACGAGCGCGCTGCTGTCTGTGATCAGAAACTGCCTCTTTTGGTGGTAATGCATCTGTGATATGTTAGGGGCCCTTGCTCTAGTCCATGCGACAGGGACCATAATCCTGATGCCACTACCAAGCTGACACACGGAATTTACTCTGTGTAATCTCTAGATCATGAATAATACAACCATTTTTGAAGATTTCTTCATTTACCAATATTTCTTGTACCCGACACACATGTATCTCTGGGAAATGAACGCATCAGCTCTTCGAAATACATAGCCATTATGAAAGCGACTGCAAATGCCACGCAAATCAAACACACGTTCAGCCTTTCCGACCATTGGATTCGTAGTACGCTTGTACATCCCCCAGATTTGCCCTGCCAAATGAATACTTACAATGTGCCATATGTACGCTATTTTTGTCGCCAACAGTGGCTATTTGATCTGGTGCTTGAATTGCAGGTACAGTTCCTAAGTAATAACGAGTCTTGCGCAAAGGCCACACCGAAGCATCGTCGACAAACAAGCGGCCATCTGCCAACCGAACAAAGGGATGCGTCAGAGAGTCGAAGATGAAGATGAGGAAGGTCTGTCTGAGCCACTAGTGCAAGGTCACCAAGGCGACGATAACCTTCAGTCTCAAGAGCCGATACATCATAGGAGGAAAGTGGAAATGATAAAGATGGGCATGCACGCAGTAGGTGTCGTAGTGCAACATCTCCCAAGAGGAAAGACTGATCAGTTGTTGGGACTGTCAGACCGGCAGAACATAGTGTGTCATGCACAGTGATCCAGAGTGAGGGCAAGCTGTGTTGGCAGGGTGAAAAGCTGTGATCCACAGATGGCC